TAATAGACTGTTATTTTTATTAGTGCAAGCTTGTGTCGCTTTTGGCGCAGAGTGGTCGCCTTTTGGCATTCGCTGACAGTCGTCGCATTTGTCGCACAATATAAATTAAACTTGACAGCAGGCGTCGGGGGCCTTTGGAATGAGGACCCTCCACTCGGGCCCTATGAATATTTTAATAACGCCATCGTCTGAGCCGGAGCTGCAAATTGCCCGAAGAGCCTTGAGCTCTTTTGCTGGCCATGGGATGGCGAATGAAAAATGCAAAAGGACCTCCGGATTTGCCATTGAGCCATTCAGTCGGCTGAAAAAAGATTTCTCGGACAAAGCCGCGTGGGCAGTCGGGTTATGGCATCTCCTTTGACAGAATTTGCACCACAAACGTAAACACATCCACCCCCTACAACATGTAAACTTAGGGATTTGAAAACTTTTAATTTGGACTGTAGAATTAAAAAGAAATCTTCTCGGTCTCGGATGTATTTTTTAAGTCATTAAACACGGAATATGCGACCATATGTTAGTTCACCCCAGGATATCTCCAAAAGGGCAATCGAGGGGCGCAGCAGGATCCGGCTGACGATGTGCCTCCCAGTGAGAAAATGGGTGGCGAGCCGAGCAGAAACCATAAATCTCCGTGTGGGCAGGCGCCATCTGCTCGTTGGCTCCCACTCTCCTCTACTCTCTCTCTCTCTCTCTTTCTGTTTCTTTCTGCGACCCTACACCCACTTTTCCCCTTTCTCGTTGGGGCACACACTCGTAGAAAATAAACCAAAAATATTTGAATTTTGTACTCTTAAAAAAATTATTTTTTTTAAATATTTTATTATATTTAAAATATTTAAATCGTTCTCCATTGTTTTATTCGATTTTTTGGCTTTCAAATAATTAACATTTGTTTGTTTGTGTGTGTCATAATTGGCCTCTTCTCTCCAGCTGTTGAAGCTTTTTTTGGGGAGGGAATGGCGCGCCGAACTGGAGCACCTCCCCACGCCCTTTGGTCCCACATTTCACCCACATATTTCCGCATTTGAATTGCACTCACATCTAAGAATTGAGAATTCAGAATCGAGAGCCAAATCGCTGTTGTCGCTCGGCGTTTGCGCCTCTGCATTATTAATAGAATCGAAATCTCTATTTCAAGGCGAGCGCCAAAACAAACAGAGGGGGGTTAAGGGGTGTCGAGAGGGGGCTGAGGGGGCTACAAATGGCTAAGGTGGGTGGTGAAAACAACAACGGCGAAACAAAGGAACAAACAGCAATTACAACAACGACACCTTCGGAAAGTGTATGTTTTCGCTTCGAATCAAAACTGCGCAATAATTGTATATGTTCCTATCTCTATAGACCCACAGCACCGATCTCTCCCTCCTCCTTCGAACTCATAAGCGATTCACAAACATTTCCTCGAACGCTAAACGAGTTGGGAGCGTTTCGATTCAGCTGAACTCTAAGCGAAACCAAATGCAAACATTTAACAGTTTGCCATTAAATTGGTTTTTATAACGTTTTCTTGACGATAACGTAGTCAGTATCTGATCACGTTGATCCAGAATTATATCATAAGCGAAAATACAAGTTACATTGAACATAAAATTTGTTCCATTTGAACCGTAAAAACGTGTACTTGGTTTGGGAAACAATTCGCATTTTGAATATTTGAGTGGAGAGACAAAATACATAAATGGGAGTGCTTCACACACAACCGCACACCAGTACACCCGTACACATTTGGCCTCTTGTTATTTATATTTAATTGCTGTTGCCTGGCCCGTTGGCTGCTTTTCTTTTAGTTTGTTCGTTTGTTGTCTTGGCTTTTTTCGGCGGATAGAGAGGCAGAAATAAAGGGGCCACACAGCTGACACCGCATGGTGAAAGTGTGCCCCGCCCCCCGCCCTTTCCCCCTTCCCCTTGCCCCATTCCCCATTCGGGGCTGTCAAACGCAGACATGTTTATGCTGTTTCATAATCGGAAATTTACATATGAGCCGCAGAACGGGCCAAAACAGAGAGAGAAAGACGTGCTCCGAGCTTTTGAGCTCCACTCGAAGGCAGTTGGCCCAGTTCGGCTGCAACTGCAATGCCAGCGCGGTGGAGATCGGAAAACGGAAAACGGACGGAGGGGTCCACAGTTCACTTGCCCGCTGACGCATGTTCGTTCATCACGACTCTGAGCAGAAGAGATTCTTCTACGAGTGTGTTAATCGGATATTTTCATTACTTTTTACTATTTGGTCATCGAAAAAATGGGACATTTTAAATTACATCTGGAGTAAAACGATGTGTTGAACAACTTCGATTGGCACCGCAAATTTTTCTCTCTGTGTGGCATGACTAAAGCCACAGACATTGGCTCTCCGACTGATAGAAGCGCACAAACACATTACGACCGACTGCAAACATACAGCCAGGGTCACAGAACTAGCTCAAACGTAAACTCGTTAAGTTATCATGCAAAAAACAAACATTCCTTTTAGGAAATAAAATATAATGTTGAGGGGTTCGAGCAAGATTTACCCCTGGTGGTTAGGGAAATATTACAATGTTATGGGAAATGGCAAAAAAAGGAATTTAATGAACATGAAAAAGTAAACAAACGTATTTTTTAAGATTACAGATAAGCATGCCGGGCGATAAGAGGGAACCAATTTTATAGTTTTATCAGTAAACATTTTCTTAGTGTAAACAAGAAGCTTAAATTGACTTTTAAATCAAACAGTGCATTTGTTGCTTATTAAAGCATATTCAATTTTCAAAATTCTTTGCCTAATGCTGATTGTCTAAGCAAGTTTAGCCAGTAATAAGATTCAAACCTAACGAGCATTTGTTCCAGCGAGTGGAGAAATAAACTCGATGGGTATTTTCCAATTTTTTGCCTGAACTCGCTCGTTTAGATCGCTCAGTTATTTAATAATTGGATAAAGCACTATTAAGCCGGCAAGTTCATACATTTAAATGGCCGTTGCTGTGTGTAGTTAGTGCCTTGTGTGCGGTGGGAATGATGACGAAGCCTGAGAAAGTGGCTCACCTCACCATTGCTGCTCTGCTCCCAATGTTCGTTTGCTTTCGCCTTATCTAATCAACAAGTTTCTTGACTTTTATGAGCCAACAAGCTTTGAACTCCGCCAAAGCCAAAGCCAGAGCCAGAGCCAGAGAGACGGCGGCCAAAAAGACCAAAAGGCGGAGGAGCAGATGGCTTGATTGAGGTGCAACAATTTGTCTGCAATTGGAGGCACAACAGCGCAACTTTAACCCAAAATACACTCGAGCATGCCTGCCAAAGCCGTCGGACAGGTTTTCCCCGCTCTTCCACGCCAACCCCATTCTGAAGCCCACTCCCATTCCCATTCGCATTCCCATTCCCATTCCCTCATTCCTGAACCGCTTCCTCCATTAAGCGAACCAAGTGGCCGGCCGGTCTGCAGCGGATTCCAATATCCAAAGGCGGGCCGAACATGCACAGCCATTTCTTCTTGGAGTCGGTTTCATTTGGTATTCCCTGCACTCGCTCCCTTGCCGCAGTCGCCAGTCTTCAGTTCCAGTCGCATTTCAGCCAGGAAGTTCGTTGTCGCCTGCTGTCTCCCTGGCCACGCCCCTCCCTCGTTGCTTTCCTACACTGCAGTACCCTTCTGCACCCCTTTCTACACCGAAAGAAACGTCTGCAACACAAGTTCAGTATGCAAAAGAAGTCGGTTCAAATCCTCCTTCTCTATGAAGAGGTGATTACAAGTCACTTGAGTTTTTCGCAGTGCAACCGTTTTGTGCCCCGACGTTTATGCGGCTTTTCATTTACATGCCAACATTTGTTTCCCTCGGCAGTTGGCAACGAGGCTTGAGGATTGTGGACTGAGGACCGAAGACTCAGGAGTACGCAATGAGTCACCGAAGGAGAAGGAGTTGGGGAGAAACTGACTGGCTGACTGCAGCGACAGAATGCAGAAGGCATCGCAGTTGGCCACTTTGCAACCTGGCTGATGATGATAGAGATAACTCAGCGGAGAACCCGCATGCTGTCCAATTTAGAGTCCACAATCTGGGGCACAGTTCGTGGGAGACTGGGGCTTGGACCTGGGCCAGGCGGAAGTTTAAGAGCAATCATGTAATGTGCTTGATCCGGAAATGCGTAAATCAAATGAACTGCAGTGCCGGAGGAGTAGGAACACATGACCCCAATTTGCTTAAAGCGCCCACAAATCAAAGCCAATTTGGCAAATTACTATGGGGCGTGAGAAGTTGAAAGGCGCCAAGGACACCCACAACCCAACCGCCAGGTGGGCGGCCCTCTAAACTGTCGCAAAAACACGAATAGAAAGCGCCGCCATGGAAGACAAAGCAATTTCGTTTGCCGCGATGTCGCGCAATTGAAAGTTTTGTCTTCGATTTGCATTTCGAAATGGAAAGGAAGCTAAATTGTGCGAAATTGCTCAAAATTGCTTTCTCTTTCACACGAAATACAAAATAATAATGGGGAGACGGGATCGGACGTTGCATCGAACGTAAATTATCGGTCAGTCCACTCGGCCAGTGATCGAAAATTAAAGTCAAGCGAGTTCAAATTGGCCGTGTTCAACAAACCCAAGATAAGGGGCCAGACCAAGAAAAGCTCAGATACTGCGGGAGAATTTATATTTTCATTTTTGTATTCCTATTTATAGACCCCTCTATGCTTCTACTGAAGAAATTCAAAAACATTAAGCGAAAAGAGTTCAGAATTGCTAACAAGACTATCAGGGAACAAAAGAACTGTTTAAGTATGACTAATAAGGAAAAACACATTTTAACTTGATAAAAAATTACTGAAAACTTTCTAACCCGTCCAGTTTCAAAGATTTTCAAAAAATACTCGGACAGAAATAAAATCTATGAAGAAAAAAAATTATAACTTGTATAGCTGTCATTGAAATCGAGTTTAAGGAATAAGGACCACATCTTAATGCGAAAAGGTAACTTCCTAGAACCGGCAACTAATTCCATTGTCCCAGATGCCAAATATAGTGTACTTACAGGACTCCGGAGCAGCGAGTGCAGACAAAGGATCCGATGGTCATGTTCACGTAGGTCGGTCCTTTCTGCCCGCAGTCGAAGCACTGCCGGTTGCCCCCTGACCCGCTGGCCACCAACTCCCGCAGGGCGAGCAGGTACTTGTCGTCCTGTTTCTTTCGCACCACCGCCATTGTTGTCGTCTCCTTCGCTCCTCTCTCCGCTGCCCTTTGTACCGCTTCCGGTGCTGCTGTCGCTGTCGCTGCGATGAGCGGCTTGATGGAGGGTCCGCTACCTGCGCGCTCCTCCTCGGATTCCTCCTCGTCCCGATCCTGGTCCTGATCCTCTGCCAACTGCTCGGTGTCCGAGGGCAGCCGCTCCTGAGGGTCAGGGTTTGGGTGGGGGAGTGGGTGGTGGGTGGTCCGCTCGGCCGCGTAGGGCGCAAAGGGGGCGACGGCGGTGCGGTAGGAGGAGGCGGCGTGGGGCGCGGAGCTGTTGTAAACGTACACGAACTGAATCTTGCCTGATTTTCCTGATTTATCAGGAAACGGAATCGGTTATCATGTGTCGTTTATGGTAAATTATTTGACAGAAATCCTCCAGATTTTTTGCTTAGCAGAAGCAAGATTGGATATATCCTTTCCAGCTACGCGTCTTCCTCTTTTCACGATCGATAGGAGCTGTCTTAATAGGTTTCGGGTTATCGGATATTATTTATCGGATATTCGTAACTGACGTAACTCTCCTTTCCCACTCCTTTTTACGCAATTTTTGGCTTGACCTTTCCTCTCCTTTGTCGCACACTCACACACACCACTGCACACAAGTTCACAGGTGTGTGTGCGCTGTAATGGATCGAAGCAACTTTTCGACTGGCTCTGTTATTGTTTACTTTTCACTTCCTTTGATGGGCAAACTTTTTCAAGGGGCAGCTGCAGATTTTAATTCAATTTATTTACACTGAATGCCGCAGCAATTGCCACACAGACTTCAATTGAAATTTCGACGCTGCGATTGCACTCGCCACTTTTGCTGCTTCCCCTTCTTCTTGTTTGTTGCAACGCGGAATTAAACGAGTGGAAAACGAACGGCGAAACGAAACCAAACAACACAACGCACTCGAAAGGCCACAAAGTAGCGCGATTTTCCGAAATTCCGACGCAAATTCGACCGCTCTCCAACAACAAAAACAGCAGAGTGACCGTTCGCGGCCAGTGGAAATAAAACAGACTGCCTGCGAAAGCCCACAAAAATATTCTGTCTTCTTTGCTCCTAAAATTGCCACTCGGTGAGCATGGAGACGAACCGATAAAGGTATCAAAGTTGTTATCGAAAGCAAACATTTCAAAATCATTTTCGAAAAAAATTGATTTATTGATAATATATATAAGACTGGATTAAATTGTTCCGTGATAAAATCAAATACAGTATTCAAAGCAAAATTATTACTTTTCTTGCATTTATGGTAAATTTAATTCTAAGGTAATGAATGAAGTTGAGTTATAAAATATCTACACCCAACTTAATCATCGACGCGTTGGCGGCTGTTTCCCTTTTTGATGAATTTCCGTTTGAACGTGGCAGGCGCACTGGCGGCTGTCTCTGCATCCAGACCACCGATCGTTTTCTCCTTAAAGCGCTTGACCGGAGGCTCGGGCTCACTGGTCGTCGAAATCACGGGAGAGGCACTGTAGTAATCCGTTTTGGGCAACTGCCAGTCGATGGGCTCATCGGGCGCTCTGAAAGAAAAGGGGTTAACATAACCTTCAGTTTTCCCCCGAGTCCAATTATCCTTACTTGACCTCCACCGTTTGCCACTGGCCAATCTCCTTGGTGGCCGCCTCCTCCTCCGTCTTAAATGCTCGGCGCTTCTCCTCCTTCTGCTTTTTCTCCTTCGGGTTCTCCGGTTTTCGAAGGGCTTTCATCCGTTCCCGATTTACGCGAGCCACTTCCTCATCGGCGTTCTCCCGAAACTTGAGGGATTCCTGGGCCTGTGTGATCTCCTGCTGCTCGATGACCAATTGGTTGATCCGTTCATACTCCTCATAGGACATGTAGCCCTCCTTAGGGGGCTTCCAAACCGACTCGTTGGTCTTGACGTTCCAGTAGTAGGTATGTCCCTCGTCCGACTTGCCCTCCACCCAGAGGGAGGCTTCGGGAGCTGCTGCCTCGGGTGCCACCTTTCCAGGAGCGACCCGTCGGTTGTCTTCTTCGTCGTCAGAGAGTCCTTCGAGCCGCATAGGGTCCACTTGGCGGGATCTTGCAGCGGAATGGGCTCCACCCGAAGTGGAGGAGGCGGTGGCCCTCATCACCGTGTCAATGGACCTGGCGGTCATGTCACCGCGAGAGTGGACATCCTGGGCATAGGACTTCATGGCAGCCTCCTCCATTTTGCGGATCTCCGCATCCATTTTCTGGCGCTCCCTTTCCGATTTCTCGCTGCTGCGACTGATGTCTGTAATCCTCTTGGCCACATTTAACTTGTGCCGCTTGCCACTTTCATGAAAGGCGACGCTCTACGGGATTTGGGGCCATTATAGAACGGAAAGTCAGCTTAATCTTAAAAACTCACAGCCTTGTTGTCGCTCAGCCAGCATTTGCAAAAGTCGCAGAACTTGCGTTCGTTCGATTTCCAGAACTCCGTCCTATTTTGATTGGAGGTTTCATTGATTTACATACAACGTCACACAATGTAGGGGTTTCATTTTCTACTTACATGTTGATTTGTTGTCTAAATTCGTGAATTACCAGAAAAGTAAACAATTTCAGCGTTTCCTGAAGTCCAAAATAATAATCAGCTGTTGGGCGACTAACACAGAGTTGCCACCTCGCAAGTTTTCGATTAGACTAGCCTTTTACACATACATATGTATGTGCTTGCTTGATGAATTTAAGCAGTAATCAGGTGAAACTTTCGTGGACGTCAGTCGCTCTCCGAGACTCGCCAATTCCAGACGACAGGTCCGAATCTTCGCTAGGTGCCGTAGAGCCATTTCCGCACTGTAATTCAGACATGGGCCAGACTCGCGTGGCAACAACACCAACTCAATCTTCGCACTCAATGATTTCGGCGGAGAAAAGTAAGTAATCCGGCGGAGGAGGTCATGGTCAGGTCGCCGATTTGCACGCTTTCCGCACCTGAGTCCGAAGTTTCGGCTGGCGATTTCACCAGCTCAGCGTTTCGTCACAGCTTTGGTTTTGTGTTGACACTGTGCATTCCACCTTTCAGGTGACCAGCCGGAAGTGGAGGAGCCACAGCTGCTGGGCGAGGACAGCTGGGAGGAGTTCTCCATCGATGTGCCCTGGGGAACCGTCGAGGGTGAGTCATCTAGGCGCCCGTTCCTTATCACTAACACCTCAGCCCATTCATGACAATCTGACGTGATTTTGCGTGACGCAGCTGCACAAGCTGTCACAATATTTTCATTCATTCTTGGAACGAGTTTTCAAAGGGTAATCAGAGTACTTATCGATTTTCCCGCTTTCAGGAAAGTGGTGGGGTTCCAAGGAGAGGCAGCCGATCATCGCGCTTCATGGCTGGCAGGACAATTGCGGCAGCTTCGACAGGCTGTGTCCGCTACTTCCGGCGGACACCTCCATCCTGGCCATCGACCTGCCCGGGCATGGAAAATCCTCGCACTACCCGCAGGGCATGCAGTACTTCATCTTCTGGGACGGGATATGCCTTATCCGCAGGATAGTGCGCAAGTACAACTGGAAGAACGTCAGCCTGCTGGGTCACTCCCTCGGCGGAGCTCTGACCTTCATGTACGCAGCGAGTTTTCCCACGGAAGTGGACAAGCTCATCAACATAGACATCGCGGGTCCCACGGTTCGGGGAACGAAGCGAATGGCGGAGGGCACGGGCAAGGCGCTGGACAAGTTCCTGGACTACGAAACGCTCCCGGAGAGCAAGCAACCCTGCTACTCCTACGAGGAGATGATCAAGCTGGTGCTGGACGCCTACGACGGCTCCGTGGACGAGCCCTCCGTCCGCGTTCTGATGAAGCGGGGAATGCGGCACAACCCGAGCAAAGATGGCTATCTGTTCGCCAGAGACCTCCGGCTGAAGGTTAGTCTGCTGGGCATGTTCACCGCGGAGCAGACGCTGGCCTACGCTCGCCAAATCCGCTGCCAGGTGCTCAACATTCGGGGAACCCCCGGCATGAAGTTCGAGAACTCGCAGGTCTACACTGACGTGATTGCCGCTCTGAGGGAAAATGCCTCCAAAGTGGTCTACCTGGAGGTCCCGGGCACCCATCATCTGCACCTGGTCAATCCAGAGCGAGTGGCGCCCCACATCAAGCAGTTTCTGAAGGACCCGTGAGAAATCGTACACTTGACCAGACCATTACTTAAGTAGGAGGCTAGTTAGAGAATATTGATAGAGAATATAGTTTGTATATATCATCGAAATGTGATGTATCAGTGAACAAAGGTATGTGCCCCCTTTGGGAGGATCTAAATGTTATGGTAATTAATAAACACAAGTTTATGACAAACAAAAACTGGCTCTTAGTCAGAACCCAAGTTGAACTTCGGTCTCTGAAACCATGTCATCGAATGTATCTTTTTATGGTTATTTTTCTCGTTTGAGCATTCGCACAATAAGGCAAACACTTTCATTTCAGTATTTAGCCAGTCATCATTACAATTTCAGCTGATTATGGCAAAATCTGATTGTCTAGCCATTGATAATGGGACGTTATAATATCTCGTTTTATTTGGTTCTTATCGCCTGAAAAGATGCAGACTGGACTTTGAAATTGAGTTTATCTATTTTTTTTTTTTTTTTTTTTTGAGACATTAAGGTGTCTAGACGATGTAAAGCAGAGATACACGGCAAAATTATATAAAATACCTTCCCGGAAGATGTAAAATAGGATACCGGAAAAAGTTTCCCCCGAAGATATATAGTATGATATTGCGTCACATAGATAAGATGTGGTTCGGAAGTGACCAACCGTCTGAGAAGATAGTCCCGGTTATCAAACTCAACAATTATTTTAATATTTGACAAACTTATACCAATTTTTTTTTGTTTATAAAACTACTTAGTAATTTCGTGTTCAAATGGAACAATTTATAACCGAAGCCGATTTTCGCAAATACAATAAATATAATTTAGATAAACTTGGACCTTTTTCAATGAAGTTACTTTCTCGTTAAAAAAAAATTTATTTATTTACTCAACAACAGAAAGATAATTAAAAATTAAAAACTTTTTACAGTGAAAAGAAACTTCTAAAATATACTTGCATCTCATGGGTTAAGTAACTGTATCTTTTTCCCACACAGTGGCAATACTAAATATTCCCCAATCTCCAACTCCCCAATGTCGCGAGAAATGTCTAAATATCTGGTAGCACTGGCAACAAATTACCGTTGCATGGCAACTCATTTGTTTACGTTTTTATTTACAAATCCTTTTCAAAGGATGCACAATGGACCTCATCAAGGAGATAAACGACAAATACCTGGCCCTAGAGGCGGAGATCGATCTGAAATTGGAGAAAGTGTAGGTTTGTGTTGACGTAAAATTAAAAACCTCTGAGACCTTTGGATATTTTCAGGCAAGCTGAGGAACTGAAACTGGAGCGTCAGAACGAAAAGCTGGTCGAGACATCTATTTACACACCAGTACCAAAAGTTTTGTCCTATGAAGAGGCTCTACTAAGGAACACGAACACCCTGAAGGCAAGCCTCCCCTCTCAAAAACGTAACATGTGCTGAAGATCCTTTTCCTTTTCAGTCGTTAGAAATAGCCAAAGCCCGCCTGAGATCACGATCTACATATTCTCCCGTTGAAAAAATCCTTCAAAAGGCCCTGGAGAACTACAGGAAGGAACTGGAGAGCCTCCAGGAGGTAAGGAGCGATCACGATCAGGAGGCCAATGAGGAGGAGGAGGACAATCTGTACGATCTTGTCATGCAGAACGTGATCGAAGCCAAGAAGCAACACACCCAAAAAACAACAGATCTTTAGGTTATTTCCCTGGAACTCGAGCTGTTCATATAGCTATGATATAGAATAGATACATAGGTGCTCGGTATGTGCGCAAGTGAGACATTGTCAAGCTGAATAAACACTCACCAAATGTACACACTTGCTGGAAATTGAATTAAGAATGGGAATGCCGGGAAAAATGGGGTGTATGCTCACTTTCTGTTCCCACTTCAAACAAAGATCGAAGTGGAGCAAACATTGAATGACGAAAGGGAACCTTGTTGCCATCTCAATCATCTAAGTGCCCGATCGACGGCATGTTCAGAACATGTGAGAACACCCTCGACGTTATCACCCTTAAAAGTACCTGCCAAGGCGAGAAGATATCTTCGCCGCTCGGGAACATCAGAGCAAACACATTTACCTAATTAGTTGGCCATATAACCACTTGGACATCTCCAAATCGGAGCAGGGCAAACCAGGGAAGCCGTGGCAATCAACTTAGTAATAAATCAATTAACGACACTCCGTCTCGTGCAAACATCAAAGAAAATTATGACTTCTCAGCTTGTCTATGTCCTCCGATAAAGTCGCCGGCGATAAGGGATTGGGGCGAAAGCGGCAGAAACAATATGGAACAGATCGCTCCGGCAAATAAATTCGGAGTTCTCATTTCTCGTAGGCACATACTTTAGGGTACAGTTGGGGTCATGAAAATAACACAAGAAAGTTCAAAAATTTAACAAATTTTGTTGTAAAGCTAAAATGTTTGCTATCCCTTGTCAGCCCATAAGTTTGAAATCCTCAATTAATCTGCTTAGCTGTAAGCAAAAGGTGGCTTTAATGGATGCGCCTGACGGGACGTAGTAGAGAACCCCCACCTGCCCACCCTACCTGTACTGATAACGCCAGCCACGACAGAATCTATTGAGACAAATTGTAGGGCGGCGTTCCACTGGCATTTCCATTTCCATTTCATTTTCTTTTCAGCCCGTGGCTACGTTGACAGTCGCGTTTAATGGCCAATACAAAGACAGCACGCAGGTACTCGGGTGTGTGTGCTATCTACAAAATATCACCCACTTTTGCTCCAGTTCAATATTTCATATTTATTTGTTTTCCGTTTCTGTTTCTGTTGCTGTTGTTGTTGGTATCGCTGTCGCGTTGCTTTTCCCCAGCGAGAGCGAGCGAGAGGTGCTCCTTCGCATTCGCACCTGTGCAGGTGAGATATCGCCGGCGATCGACGGTACTTCGTGGGGCCCGCCGCCGGGAGCTGGCGTTTTAAACTTCACCGTCAAATCCGACGTTTCAGTTACGTTCCGAAACGCGACAGGTGCATATAGTGCCTCCCGATCCGTTCTCGTCCAGGAGTGGATTGAAGTGGTGCGAACAGTGCGTGGTGCCTACGTGTAACTCCTTCGTGGAACCACCAGATCCCCGGGCAGCGAATTACTTGGGCCAAGGGGATGCAAACTGTGATCGCAGCTAGAAGTTTGTTCGTTTGGCTTAAGTTATTTTCATGTCCGATTTAAGCGCCACGTGGTGGGATCGGATTGTCCACACATAGTATATAGGAGAAGTGTTCTGGTCAGGAAGTGCTTCTGGCCTGTAACTAACGCGGTTATAATTGGATATGTCGGGTGTGCTAACGAGTTGGGATCGGGCTTGCTACGCGCCCGGAGATCCTAAGTGTGTACGTCATCAGGTGAGGATCGGCGGTAAATCTGGACACCTGAACAACAGCGCTTCTCCGAAGGCCCATTAATCGGAAACGGCACAACTGTTGCCCTAATCGGGGTTGATAATTAAACTGGTACTGATACCAGGAGCTGCGTTGCTCCGCCCCCAAAAATCAGACGCCCCGAAGAGGTTTAAGCCGGTTGATTGCCGATCGCCGCCACCGTAAAATCTGATTTCTGTAGACGTGTCGTCGCTCGCCCCAAACCGATTCGATATGGCTGGGGAAAACGACTTGGGCACGAGATAAGAAGCCTGAAGGGGCACACAGAGAGAAAAACGGCATGCTGAATTAGATTGTAGTTATCCACCAGGCAGTTCGAAGTAGCTGGGAATGAAAATGATCTCGGCAGGATTCGAAAGATGAGCATATGAAAACCTTTTTGAAATTATTAGCACATCCAAAGGATATATTTCAAACCTGACCTGCGAATATCGACGTTTTTTTCTGTGCAGAAGGGGCACTTAGTTTGGGGGCACTACGTGGCATGGAACCCTCTCTATAAGGCGGAAAGGTAACCGTTACCGAAACTGATAATTGTGCAACGTACACAAACCTTGCTCGTAGTGCTCCACTTGCTTTCGGGTTATCAGTTGGAGTGACAAGCGGAAATTAAAGTTGAAATCGACACGATTACTTCATTAGTTCTGTTTGGAAAGCGCCGAGCAAGAGGGTGCGTTCCGGGGGCGGGGGTCAGAGGTCAGGCAGGAGTTGACAAGGTCACCAGGGATGTTTATACGAGGCTGTCGAACGCGACTGATAGATTGGATTGTCGGTGGCCATAACTAACCAATTAGCGATTTGCCATTCGTAGCAGGCAAAGACAGGCACAATCTTTGGCAGTTGGATCTGGTGGGTGGCTCAGGGAGTTTTCTGTGGGTGGTGGGTGGTGGGTGGTTTGTGCTCAGGCACCAAGGTGAAACGCAATCAAAAATAAGTGAGCCGAGCCGAGCCAAGTCAAGTCGAGTTAGGCTGAAGAATTGGACCCAATTCGATCAGGTGCAAGCGACAGAAACAGCGAAGGAGACATAGACAAACAGACGAACAGAGGCCACGTATTTGCCGGGGAGTATAGTGGAAACCCTCGAGGATGGACAGCAGCGCTGTTATCTGCATGAACACTAATCTAGAATCCGAACAGTATGAACAAAGTGGGCGTCTGAACGAAGTATCTTTGTATTTGGAGGGCTATAGATAGTATAGCTTTTGGGGGTTCCTTTTTTCCCATGATATGCAATGTGATCCGCCACAGGGAGCCTTCACTGTACTAGGATGAGTGGAACCCTGAGGAGATGTCATTGGCTTGGACGTGGACGAAAGCGAAAGGTGTAGACGCAGACAGAGACGGAGACAGAACTTCAGCGAATATGCCAAGGTACGTCAAAAGAAATGAATTACCCGGACTGGAATCCGGACGGGGGACCAGGAGGAGGTTGGCAAAGTGCTCCAGGCCGAGGCCTGGCCCAACCCCCAAGTCGCACTTTACTGCAAATGCAAAAACTTTAGACAGGGAATCAATTGTTGTTGCCTTGTTTTATTTTGCCCAAGACACGCAACAACAATGGGAGCGTCAAGCAAGAGGCTAAGATGGAGAACACTTCGAGAAGAAGGGTTGAATCGCTCTTTATTGAACGCTTAGTGGAACAAAAGTCTTCTACAGGCCATCGAAGCCATCCCAAATCCTGTGGCGCTGGATATTTTATGGGTGGTTACAGAAGTTATTCGTGTAATAAATGTTATAACTGGGAATATAGATAGTGGCTCGGGTTATGTTTGTAAGAACGTTATCACGGATACATTTTATTATGCTCACTGCTTTATCAGAAATAAGTAGCAGTGCTTGTAAGTTGTGATTGATAAACTGCTCAGCAGAGTTTTCTTACTGGATTTTTCGAGCAGTGCAGCAGGTAACTAGCAACAAATGGGCAGTCGGCAGTCGGGGGCGTGACAGCAACCGTGAAAAGAACTCGAGGATGACAGTTATGGGTTACAAAGGCAAGGATTGAATCAAATAAATAAACGCGCAAGGTTCTCGTCATGGAGCACGGCTCAGTGGGTCGGATATTCGGGGGTTGCCCGGGGATTTATATGGGATTCGATTGAACGGGTTGAGCTCCGGCCGGGGATGGGGATGGGGGTAACCTTACCACGTCCACGTCCATGTCAAGTTTGCATGCGGCTGCAGGTAATTCCTCATTTCACCCGCCTTTACATAATCACAACAAATGAGCGAGGAAAGGCGACGGATGGCGAATCTATTAGCATAAAGGCGCATAAAACGGCGCCGCAGCCCTGGATCCGGCTGGGCTCGGATTCCAATACGGACACGGACACGGACTCGTCGAGTCAGTTGCAGTGGAGCCGTGGAGCCGCGATGAACGTGTTTAAGGCAAAGGTCCTAACGGAGGTCCCTTTCGGGCACGTCCTCATCGTCAGTGGACGCGTCAAGCCTCACCCGAATAAGTAGGAACTACATTGCAGTTTGTGGACGCGGCACCCTAGAAATTAAGAACATAATTAAATAATTTTTATCAATTTATCTGGGCCTCTTTGTCTGGTCGTTCGACTGCCTATTTCCTATATCCAGAAAGGGCTTATTTGACAAGAAGAGTTTAGATTCGCACAATCATTTAGTTTGCGAAATATTCACTTGATTTGATACAACATATTAACTGCTGAAGCTAAAGTTTTTAAAATGACATAATAATTAAAGTTAAAATAAAATGTTCAGCCGAAAGCTAAGTGAATCAATAACCCAGTTTGCGATTGCAAATAAACACTATTAATTCAGTAATATTTGGTACTAACCCCCTTCCCAATTCTGGTCAGGATATCGCTGGACCTCACGGACAATGTGAACGCGCAGAACGAGAGCGAAACGGTGTTCCTGAAGATCGAGGCCAACTTCCGCGAGGGCCAGATCATCCGGAGCATGTTCCAGCCGGGCGAGGGCTGGCAGCAGGAAGAGATCTCGAAGAACTGGAAGTGCGACGGCCCGAAGAACCCGCTCCAGCCCGGCCAGAGCTTCACCTTCCGAGTGGCGGTGCTCCAGCGCTGCTTCGAGATCTACGTGAACGACCAGTTGTACGGATCCTTCGAGTTCGTCAAGTTCCCCAAGCAGATCAACTTCGTGCGGACCTACGGGGACTTCGAGAGGATCACCCAGTTCCACCACCGCATGCTCTTTCCGCTCGTCTTTCCGAGATGCCTCATGTGCCCCGAGAAGGTGGCCTTCCAGAGCGACGTGCCCAGGCGCTACGAGACTGGCACCGTGGTGGCCATGGAGTGCATCGCCAAGGGGCCGCCCACCACGGAGTTCTCCATCTGCTTCCAGTGCAACGACACTGGGAGGACTGTGCTCCGGTTCCATGTGAACTTCGATCGGACAACGGTTTCACGAACCTACCAGCGCGAGGACAACAGGTAAAATATTTGCCCATTTACCCAAAATTTCTTAAAGAAATCATTTTCCCCCTTGATTTTTCAGCTTTGCTCTCAGCGACGAGGAAACAGAAGGTGAGTTCCCGTTTGTGCGGGGAAAGCTCTTCAAGATCGCCTTTGGACTCGGGGACCGTGCTTTCCTGATCGCCGTTAACGGCCAGTACTTCACCTACTACAACTTCCCCGGACGCCCCTTCTCCATTTCCACGCTGAAGTGCTTCACCAACGAGGTGGGCGACTTCGACGTGAGGAGCCTGGAATTCCACTCCGACTCGCCACTTTTGGCCCGCGTGGAGAAACTGTCCATCATCTAGGCGGAAGGACGCCGGTTTGAATTTCCGTAGAATGCTCTTTGTTCAATCGTTGGCTTTGATCACCGTACAGCACCAGTTAACTTCTTTTTGTGAGCAAATAAAGCAAATCAGCTCTCCAAATCAGTGTGATCCTATTTTTATCCTTTACAACCGATTACATTCTCCCTAATCGAGCGCAACCAATGAGTCTTCCTTTGGATATAATTTTATTAAAACAAATTATTGCCGTCTCCTCCCTTTCTTCGTCTTGATCAGCATCACCTTCAGCAACTGCGTCAGAAGGAGCCACCTGCGACTCTCGTTTGGAGCTCCACTAAGTTTAGTCTTAAGGTTAGATCTACTTCTAGCTAATCCGGTCCAATGGGGAACAGATTGGCATCCCAGTCGGGACTGCGGATGTCTGTTTTCCTACATAACGCTAGGTTCTCACTATGGTTTATATGTGTATATGTAAATAGAAATCGTATATTCGTCCTAGAAGTAGCGGAATTCACCCTTCTTGCCCAGATGCTTGCTGCGCATCATGTCGGTGGGGTCCGGCGATCGCTGCTCCATGCCGGGGTTATCCTAGAAGAAGAAATGCTATTGCTTTACTTTAGCTATGAATGTGCTTGAAGGACACGCACCCCTGGTCGCGATTTGTTGCCGGAGCCCGGAATGCCCTGCGGTGACTGTTGTTGGCCGTAGAACTGGGACCCATCTCCATCTCCGAAATTGAAAGGAGTGACGATCGTGTGAGGCACGTGGGCCACCTGGCCGCGCATGTTGCGCGCCTTCCACCACTTCCGCGTGTCGTCGAGGATCTAATTTGCAGTAAAGGATTTCGGAATTAAGACATATCTCAAAGTAGATTTTTTTAAAATGTGTACTGACCTCCAAATATTCGCCTCGCATCACGCTGAGCTCCTTGTCGTTGTTGGCGGTGCGTGGATAGGTGACCAGCACAATCTTGGCTCCTGCCGCCTGCAGATCCTCCAGCCAGGACTCAAGCATCTGGTCGTCGCTGACGTTTGTGGCAACTCCTCTTCCGCCGCCGCCCAACTCGGAGGAAGGCCCTGGACCAGCTCCTCCGTACCCGTTTCCGCCGCGGGATTCCCGCGTGTGCAGATTCTGCAGACCAGCTGTGATGGCGCTCAGGGTGGGTCCAGCTCCTCCTGGCCCGTGACCATGGCCATGGCCATGGCCCGCTGCACCGCTCCTGCCCTCGATTGAGTCGAAGGAAAGCTCGCTGCGGGTGTTGAAGTCGGAGGCGCTGATAGCTCCCGCCCGATCCCTGTCGCGCTCCCTTTCCCTTTCCCGCTCCCTCAAGCCCTCGTTGCCATGGTGGATGGTGTACTTCTCGATGCCCATGGCCATGTTCATCCCGTTCCCCGAGTCGTAGTCATCGTACCCGCCGCCTCCTCGGCCATTCAGTCCGGATCCAGCCTGGACCTCCAGCCGGCGCTTGCTCACATGGGCGGGTGGGGAGTTCGGGGGCGGTTCCAGCTCATCGTTAATCAGGTAGTCCGGGGACCAGCCGTCGAGGAATACCGGATGGTAGGACCCGACGTCATCCTTCCACTGATCGCGCGGGATGACCCATGCATCGCCCAGCGAGCGCCACAGCTCCGTCTCCTTGCTGGTCACGCAGTTGATGAGCAGGTTGATGGCCTCCCTGGTGAGCAAGGGGTTAACGACCCGCGCCGGCAGTTGTGACTCGTAGTACGTGTCGCTGGATGCCTCCACTATTAAGGCCAGCGGCGTGAAGAGGAAGTGCACCAACTCCGGGGCGTTGGGGTCGTGGATGTGCGCCTTCAGCTTCGCCAACAGGTTGAACGAGAGCTTGAACTTGGCGAAGATGTCCACGAACTCCTTCTCGTGGGGCGGTCGGGTTCTCAGAGTGAGCAGCCCCTCTCCCGGATCCCTTTTCTTGGACTTGCGGTTGCGGCGACGACGCTCAAGTTCCCGCGAAGCGGCTGCCGCGTGCTGAAGTCGGGCTATGAACTTCTCGATGTCGTCGAAACAGTGATTCAGAACAGCCACGTCCCGTTCGTACTTTTCGCTGGACGTGGAGCTGGTCTCATCGCGCTCGGCTCCTCCTCCTCCGATGCCGCCGTGCTCCGAATCCGTTTCCCCACTGATGTGGGCCACATCTTCGCCGGAACCGCCCACTCCGGCCCGAATTCCGTACTGCTCCACACTGCTCCTTTGGTGCATGTGATGGTGGCTTTCACGCTCCCGATCCCGATCCCGTTCCCTTTCCCGCTCGCGGTCTGATCGCTGCTCCCTATGCTGGTGTAGCTCCACTCGACTGTGCGAGGAGGACGAGGAGGTCTTGCTCATCATCATGGCCATGCTGGAGGCCCCGCCGCCTCCGCCTCCCGACTGCGTGGGTGTGGCACCGCGCTGCTGCGTGATCATCTTGCCGCTCCGCAGCTGCTTCAGGTCTTCTACCAGGTGAACGGCGGACACGCTTTGTGACTGCATGGGAATATCGAAGGATAAGAATTAAAAAAGACTCACGGCATAATTTTTAAACTTTTTTAAAGGCCTTTCGAAACAAAATAAGCGCACACAATATTCAAAATGATGTGCTTTTTGCAATTAAAAACACTTCAGAAATTAAATGTTGTCTGAATGTGTCTGCGCAATAATATTTACCTGAAAAATGTGCATTTCGGAGCGGGATCCACCGCCTCCGGACACGATAAAGACCAGAATATTGTTATACAGCTCCATGGCGTCGTTGGAGGTGAAGGCGGTGGGCTCCTGGACTAACGAAGCCGGAAATCTTTCGATAATGTTCTGGAAGAGAATAACCGAAGATCAATAACCTTCCAATACCAAATGAAATAGCCCGGCTCACCCCCGTTTCGTAGTCCATGATTAGAACCCACTGGTAGTCCAAGCAGAGCTGCATCTTCTGCGACCAAATGCCAGTGGTCTTTTCCAGCTGAAGCAGTCGACGCATTCCGTCTGCCGGATAAACAATGCCCGATTCCTTGTTCACCGTGAAGGTGGCCAGGTGCTCCAGCAGGTAGGTGGGTTTGTCATGCAGGTCGCCGTCCAGTCGCTCCCGCTCCTCGCCGCCGCCACTGCGATCATCTCCGGAGTAGTCCCCTCCTCCGCCACCATGGGCACCTCCTCTCAAGCTTCCGCTGCTATTTCCGGCACTGCCGCCGCCATTCGAGTGGTGGTTCACCATGGTGACCCCTAATCCCAGTCGAGGCTTAGTTTTAGTCCTAAAGCTCCGTCTGCAAATATGAAAGTTTGGGTTACTAAATGCTTTTCAAAAGCAAGTGAGTCTGTTGGTAAATACAAATTTGAATTTGCGTTGAATTATATGCAGAATTTTTCTTTGCATACCGTTTAACAACTGATAAAACCCTGTTGATCATAATTTCAATTTTTTTTTTTACATTTTCAATGCATTGTTAGAATAAAATAAATAAAAAAGTATTTTATTTTATTTAAATAAAACAGCAAACAGTCTGTGGGTGAAGTTTGATTGCAACGTAAGAGCTTCGCATTGACTCACAAGGGTGTGGTAGCTCGGTACCGAATTTGGTGTTCCAAGATCTTTAAGAATTAAGCAATGCAATCTTTTGACTACCGGATACAACTTTTTTTTGAAATTTTGCGTATCACTATTTTATTTTTCTGTTGTGTTTAGCGCAGCTGAGATTAAGTAACCCCCTTTGCATCTCAAGCCCCGAAAACCCCTTTTAACCCCCTTCTGATATTGCGCAGCCCAATCGGATCTGACTCAGACCGCATTCCTCACAGCCACTAACATTAACACACACTCCAAAACGATCCGCACATGGCCGCAATTATTCTCAAACTTTAACATTTCGTTGTTGGCTTGGATCAGCATTGGAATTCAAAAATCGCGCTCCTTCCCCTGGTTTCCCTCCTAACTTATTGACTGCACAGAAAACAATATTTAAAAAGTTCTCAAGGCCTGGCAACACAGATATTACTGAAATTAATAAAATCAAATTGTATTTCTAAATAATAATATCCGGAGTATTATTATAAGAAATATTAGCATTAAATATGCAATTATATTGTTTGAACATTGTATTATCAACATAAAATCTATCTTAATGTTTGTTTCTGTGCAGCAAATTAACACACCTGCAAAAACACACACACGTGAAACTAAGATTTGCAAACACCCTCTCCTTCGCTCTCTCTTACTAACAGACAGACACTAGCTAAACCGCTCCCTCGACTCAAGTGACAGCAACAACTTTTCCGCTGTTTTAGGCTGGGCTCAGGCGCCGACAGCGCAGTCGACGGCTCCAGCGACTTCACATACCAATCTACACTCAAAAAATTAATGGTATGTATAGATTCGTAATTCCGCTGTCGGGTAATTTTTTGTTGGCTAGTATTTTAATTCTTACAATTCTTGTCCTGTTTTTAACATTTGACGTATTTTACTAATCCAGCAGAATATCAATATCTCGACCGAAGTTATCACTAAAATCGTCATGAGAAACATATTTTTTTTTTGTGTAAAAATGTAGCATAGGCGAAGGGACTGCATAAAAAGGGGGCCTGGTGCATGTACATATGAACCAGCGGCAGGTGAAAGAGAAAATTTCGGAGAGGGTCAGGTAAAGTGCACTATCTTTAAAACGATCTTAGCCAAAAGAAATCTCAGTAAATAAACAAGACAAAATGCAAATAAAAAAAGAAAAAGTTGACCCAGTACACCCCTGGCAGAGTTTTGTTTTTGTTTTAGTTAACTTGTACAAGCCCCAACATTGCATCACACTTGTGAAATTTGACAGATTTGTGTTTTTTGTTATTTTTTACAACAGCTTTGGCGGCAAAAGCAAAAGGCGATTAATATTATTACACTCGAATCATGGCAAAATTGTAAAATTATAAGATTTCCCCAACAATAAGCCAATTTAAAGAACCGTAGCCAAACAACTAACATGCACATATACATGTATATATGTATAGTACATATGCACATGGCTAGTTCAGGGGAAGTTAATGAATTGGGACCTGATAAGCATGAGATGGGAATTAATGTCTCAAATAATTTAGACAGCGTGGATTTAGATAAAAAACGAAGGTTTACTTCTTTTTTTATCTCGCATTTTTTCGTTTCACGAACCAAATGGCAAAACAACAAATAACAATAGTAGTTGCTGTTCTTTGGGAGCAAACTAGCTTGAGGGGAGGGAGGGTGATAGCGAGACATCGACACCCTGATCTACACAAGCGCTATCCCCTTCGCGCGCATGCGTGGCAGGTAAGCTGACGTCAGAGATTGTGTTTGTGTGCGGTTTGAAAAGGTAAACCCACTAATATTTGTCTCCGTGTCGCTGAATCCCCCCACCCACCAACCCCTCCTCGCCTGTAGATCGACCGCATTTTTTAAGCTTTCTTTTCCACCTGTTTTCCTCTCTCTCTCATTGGAGCTGTTGATATTTTACGAGTCTCTCACACAGATACTAAGCCCCACTTACACAGGTACGGTTGTGCAGCAATGTGCGTGCGTGGATACACAGAACTCACTCGAAGTAAATAACTGCGAAAATGCAACAGGACCGTAAGTCGTATCACTAACAAATTATTTCAATTTACATATGTATAAATGTATGCACATATTTGTAAACTTACAAAAATATAAGAACTCTTTTATCAAATACGTACAAATTTAACACGTATTCAATTGTTCACTTTTTAGAGGAAGCACTGTATATACAAAAGTGGGAGCGGCGGCAGGTTTCGTATTGATTTTTAATGCTTTTGCTCAATTCATTCACTAAATATCACACACATGCTTAGTCTGCTATATATACACATATTTTATTCTAATTGACCGCATTTTCCGCTGATATGTGCGTATATTTGTACATTCCCTTTGCACACACGCACACTACAGGTATCGATATCTCGTTAGCATTTCGATCCCATCCCCCCCACTCGGCACATTCCTTTTCTAATTAGCACGAATCCAAACCTTTGTCACATTCACCTGGCATATTAACTATGTTTCGTTTTTTCAATTTTAAGACGTTAAGACTGCGATCACTGGAGCATTGTTTTGAATTTAATTCAAACATTAAAAATAACTGTGGTTCAGCACTTAATCCGCTCTTCTTCTTTTCATTCTTCGTTACCTGTCTTCGCCGTTAGTTCTGTCCTTTTCTGGTCCCCGCTTTGGTGTTGTGCTTTCTCGCTTCCCTTCGATTTTTATTTTTAAGTCGGCTTTCTTTTGCTCCGTACTTTTTTATTCTCACAGGTTTTTTCTGTCGCTTGTGGAAAAAAAACGTACAAATAAGAATAACCCCGCACAGTATGTAGTTGTTTTGTGGCTTTTCAGTCACTGCTTTTGTAGTTGTCAAACGCACGCGAGCGTTCGTCCGCTTCCTAAGCGCGTTTATACATGTCGGTACCAAAAAGTACTAACTTGGCTCCATGGTAGAATAAGTAAGGTAGTCTCGACGGATCCGTCAGTCCAATATTGCGCTCTACAATGAGTGCGAGTGAAAGGGTGTTTTCTCGTAAGCGGGAAAGAAACCGGAATAGAGTGTGCGGCCTTAGTCAATAACCCCACCACCGGTTGTTATCTTTGAACGTTAGTTAAACTCGTCCGCTAGAGGCGCTTTATCCTGGTTAACAGAAAATTTGCTTGGCACAAAGTTTTCCAAAACGGGTAAACGGTGGCGGTCAAAGCAATAGAACCCAAGACTAAAGACTTAAAACAACTGACTTTATTAAAACATATTATAGCCACAAATATATGGAGGTATGCCACATTGAAATCGAGTTATAATTGGCCAAGTTTTGGATAATGGAAGTTTATGTTTTTGCCCATGAACAGGGGTCAAAATATCGACCATTTGCAAATGGAAAACTTTAAATGAAGTTTGTTTAGGGATATCACCACAAATATTTAGAGGCATGCCACTTGGAATCGGGTTAAAATTCTAGTCAGGGGATCTGAAATTTCAGTTATGGGCCACTCTACGACAAATCATCAAAAACTTGGAAACATCTGACATGAACAGGGGTGAAAATATCGATAATCAGTAAATTGGAAAAGCAACCCGTTATATGCTTTGGGGATCTTGATTATGTGTTAACCTACTATTTGCATTTCAATCGATTTTATTGAATAAACCTTAGCTAATTAAAAAAACTATTAAAAAACTCGTCCTCCAGATCAGCTCTTTGCCTTCTTGTTGGCTTTGATTAGCTTGGCCTTTAGCGCCTTCACGTCTACTTTGCTGATGGAAGATTCCTCCTCCTTCTTTCGATTTGAAGATGAGGAAGTTGCCTTCTCTGTGGGCGGTACAAAGTCCTTGTTGCGCCGCTCGTCCTGCCGCTTGGCAGCCTCCTTCTGTTTTTCGGTGCGCTCTTGGTTTCGCTTGGCCTGCTTTTGCTCCTTGTTGAGGAAATATTCGCCGCTGGCCAACTGCTTGTCCACCTTGCTCTCCGGTTGGCTGGGCGGGAATGGCGTGTACTCCTTTTTGGGCTTCTTGACCTTCGGCTGCTTGCGCTTGCTGATGTTTTTGTTTTTGAATTTGGGCAGGAACCGGGACCAATCCTCATTGGCCAAGCGGGGATCCTTCATCAGTTCCCGCTTGATCATTAAAGCTTTAATGTTGTATATGGGATGCACGTTATTCATGGTTTCCAGGACAATATCCCTTACTTGCTGGAGGCCCTTATAGGGACCCAATGCAGAGACGGTGTTTCCTTGAACCAAAACATAGCAATCGGTAAGAAGTTCAATGGATTTCAGGGTTGCGCCATTGGGTCCGATTAAACGTTGTCGTCGCTTTACAAACTTCTCCTTCTTGTGCACCAGGTTTCCGATTTTAATGATGTCGCAACCGATGTCATCCTGTAGAACACGCTTTGCCTGCTCGAAGGGAACACTTCTGGCCATCAGTTTGATCATGTCCCTCGCCTTAATGATGATATAGGGGTCCCAGGTTTTGCGACTGGTCTTTACCACCATGCTGCCCTCCATCAGATCCAGTTCCGCCTTTAAATGGTGCTCCTCCAAGCACTGTTCCACCAAGGGCCAAACTTCTTTGAGGTATCGCTCCCTGTATTTTGGGAACAGCGTGGCAAAGGAGCTCTCCTCCACCATTCCATGCGGGTTGTCCTCCTGTTTGAAGGCCGGTATTTTCAAGGCCCACGCATTGTCCACCGGATCGGTGCCGGTTTTCGTCTCCTCTGCTTCGCTATCGCTCATTGTTTCTGCGTTATTCAGGTGGATAAATTTTAACTACTTGCACGCTTCTTTTGACAGGTTGGCCAGATCGATGGAAAACATGTTTGGCCTTACTAGTATTTTCCATGGTATATTTGCATGAGCCGAGCGATATATTTTCCTTATTGTTCTGCGGTCATACTGACCGTAAACCGAAACGAAGCACACGCAGGAATTTTCGCAAAGAAAAACGTCGCAAATAAATACATAAAAAGAGTTGTAAGGCTGAAAAACAATTGTAAATATATTCCTGGTAGACTTATTAAACTGTTAATCGACTAAAGTGTCTGCGGAGAAGGCTCCAAGTCTCGCAGATTTTGGGGCGTGGATGTGATTAAATTATTTAAGAACGATTAATTAGCAGAAATCAAATGTAATCATAACAAAGTGGCCGATATTGCAATACGAACAAATGCTGTAAAAACGCAAATTTTCTTAAATTTTACTTGGTTGCGGACTTAATTACGCATTGTGAAAATTTGTGAAAATCAAAATGGAGTCGCTCTGTGTCGTGGCAGGGCGCTGCCAACTTGCTTGAAAAATGCAAAACTGAGTAGCTTTCACTTTTTATTTGACCCAAAACGTCATCTTTGGGTTGAGAAAGTAAATAAAGTAGGAGCATTCGTGCCTTAGCCGTTCGATCGCATGTTTTTTTTTTTTTTGTTAATTTCGGCAAAGTAAATTGTGGCATTTTGGAGAGTGGACATCCCCTTAATGTTGCACTCGACTATCGATAACCGCTGAGCACACGTCCGCTTTTCTCAGTGCCTGAAAAACAGTCGCGAAGAACACGTTTTCTGCTGATCTGCAAATAAAGGAAAAACCTGGAAAAGGAGTTGATTTTCATAATAAAAAAAAAAGATCGGATTTCTCCATTTTTTGCATCTGTTGCTTGGGACTTGTTTTTCCTTGGCTTTAACCGTGAATTGTAGGGTCTACAATAGTTCTGCCTCGATAAATCCGTTCTCAGACTGGTGATTTCTGCTATTTTAGATACTTTCGGAAGGCTCGCAAAAGCGAAATTGACGGAATTACGTAATCAGTGGAAATTTAGTATCCATTAATTTCACGCACACTGGCGTCGCTACACACACGCACGTATCAATTTATACACACACACACACACGCACGCGTATGGTTGAACCTTCGCGTGTGGAAAAGGGACGGCAATAGGACACACGGCGTTGCCAGACCTCGTTTTTCCGAAACGAAAAACAAAGGAAAATGGTAAGTAGTTAAGCTGAACAAAATGTTGAAATGTTTTATTCATAATGTTCCCAAAATAGCCACGCATAGTGCCGTTACAATTATTAAGGTGCCTTCGGGTGCTCTTGGACAACAACGGTGGAATTTTAAGTGCTTCAGAGGTGAAACGCATTTCGGGGTAAGTTTGCCACACCACAGCGCCCCCTGGTGGTCTGTTCTAAAATCGATTTTCTCCCAACAGTTTGATGGCCAAGTATTCAAAGAAACTTGTTTCGAAATGTGTTTATGTACAAATACTAAAATCAACAAAGACGGAACTGTTGGGTGACTTTATGGCCGTTGGCGGCTGGTCGCTGGTCTACACGTGGCTAAACGATGCCATCAGAGCGATGAACTGGCCCTTGGTGCAGGAAATCCTGGAACTGTTGCTGCTCTCCCCTGTGGATGTCAATCGGCTGAAGATCAACTCGGCGCCCATCTTGGTCAAGGGTCTGTGCAAGGATGGCGGCAATGAAGGTGAGTTTAAGAACTATACTTCCTTTAGTACTGTTTAGACTTGTTTACGCAATTGCTGATGCTTTATTTTTAAATAATATTTTTGCTCGGGATTACTAATTGCCTTTCTTTGATCCCGTATTTCAGGTGTACGAATTCTGGCCAAGCGTTTGGTGGAGCAGTGGCTAAAGATTGTGACTGAGAACACTAATGTGGTGGTCCAGACGCCGCTGCCTGCCATCTCGTCATCTCCTGCTCCTACGTCCACTGCCGCAGCTCCAGTTCCGGACTCTGCCTCTTCTTCCGACAGCACAGACAGTGCCGGCGTCCCTGTGACTTACACCATCACCTCGGCGGCCAACAGCAGCAACTCCAACAGCATAACCATCAAGTGGAAGCAGATTGATAAGACAGAAGGCGAGGAGATGCCCCACGCAGCTCAGAAACACAACGAGGAGGAGCAGCAGGATGAGCGCTCTGCGCCCGAAGCAACAACCGACGTCAGCCTGGGGAAAAAGTCCAGTTTAGATGATAGTTGTTCAGGAGCGGAGGTTAAGTCCGGGGAGGACGTTGATAATAGGAAACATAAAAGCGCCAAAAGCGACAAGAGTAAACGGTCTGAGAAGGAACGCGAGAAAGATAGGAAGAAGGAGAGTTCCTCGAGTCATAGGTCATCGTCATCTAGCCATAAGTCGTCGTCGTCCTCTTCATCCTCCTCCTCCTCTTCGAGGAACAGTTCCACAAAGAGCTCCTCTTCTTCCTCTTCCCATCGCAGTTCTAGCGATAAGCAGCGCGATAAGGACAAGCCTCGTTCCAGTTCGGGCTCGTCCAGCTCAAGCAAGGACAGGGAGCGCAGCAGCAGTTCGTCCTCTTCCTCCTCGAATAAACACAAGTCCTCAAAGTCCTCATCGTCGTCGTCGTCGAGCTCTGGTTCTAGTTCGTCCAAAGACCGCAAGGACAAGTCGTCCTCAACATCGTCGTCGTCGTCGAAGCTGGAGAAAGACAAAGATAACAAGCTAATGCCTCCGCCATCAGCTTCGCCATCGGCAGCTGCGTCTGCATCTGCTTCTCCTTCGGAGAGCGAGGCACAAAAGCCCAGATCCATTCCTATCATGTCCAGAAAGGCCTCCATTTCGATTGAGATACGCCGGGACACTGAGAAGACCGCCACTGTGAAGACATATCAGTCGAAATTCAGGTCGCATGGCCTGACGGAGGAGGCGCCTCCTCCTCCATCGCGCAAGGGTCTGAAAAAGCCCACGTCGACGACTGCAGCGCCGGCTACTCTGATGGCAGTACCACCTCCTGCCCTTAAGCGTCCTTCGCCGCCGCCCAGGGATTCGCCCACCGAAAAGAAGTCGAAGATCGACATCAACAACGTCGCGGGACATGTGGAGCGGCCCGGAGCCGCCAAGCTGATTGCACCCAAAAAGAGTAAGTATCTGTCTTTGAGAAACCCTACTAACGCTCTTTTCCTTCTGTTTCAATTCGCAGCCCTGCAGACTTTGGTGGTTTTTGCTTTTGTATTTGGTCGGAGTCGAAAGTCGTACTCCAGCGTATTATTTGTTGATCTCTCTTCAAGGTGTTTAATTTTGCTTGGGGCGGGTCTAAAATTCTAGTGCAGCATTGGGGCGTTTATAGTGGCGACTTAGCAATTTATGTATAATTGATGCGATCGGAGTGGTTATCTCTGGATCGAGTTTGAACTGTATTAACCAGTGCGTGCTTCTATGACGCTGCCCGGATGACAACGCATGAAGTCGGGGCCCTAAATCTGGTCATTGCGCATGCGCCGAGACTGAAGCCGAATCGAAATCTGACTTGCTGACGCTGCCGACGTCGCCGCTCGGTGTTAAGTATCCAAACCCAAATCATGAACCTATTTTGATTAGCTTAGCTATAAGGTATGTAGATCTCTTGGCACGAAGCCCACCTAAACAATTACCAATAAAAATACCATTTCCTCTAGAAAAATACGATTTTTCTATTGAATAAAAAAATGCATTGAGCGCAAATGAAACCAAATCGAAAATGTTGACTTGAGCTGGCGGTTCTAGAAGTTTGGTCGGTGGATCGCCACCTCATGGGCCTTTTAAACCTAGCTGCTTCGCCTTGGCCTCGATTAGCCGTCGTGCGTCACCGAGGGTCGCCATTCTTGTTTGTCGCGTCAGATAAGGGATTCGCCCGTTGACCCACTCCCCGTGATTAGCAGACCGTCAGCGGATGCGTCACTTCGTCACTTCAGAGAGCTACTTTAAGAGCTTTATCTGATTGCTGTGTTAGCTCAAATTTTAACAATAGCTCTAGTAAACCTCTTACTTTTAAGTCGTTCAATAAACAATTATGCTTCCTCCAATGTAATCGCAAGGAAAATAGTTTATTTTCAATACTTTAATTTTTTTTATTTGTTTGCAAATGGCAGATAAAAGCCATGCTTTTAAATGTATTTTATGTTCGACTCTGAAATCATAATAAATTTTTTTTAATAACTTGAAAAACTCGATGAATAGAAATATTGAAAATCAAAAAAAAAAAAAATTAGGTACATAGGCAAATTTAATACTTTAAACTTGCAAATAAAAGTCAAGCTCACAAATTACGAATCTTTCATCTTAAATAATTTTTTTTGTCTTTAAAAACTCAAGAAATAGAAATACATAAAACGAGGAGAAAATTTGGAACGTAATTTTAAAGAATTTTAAATTTTAAAAGAGAGAAGGATTTTGTTAAATTTATATTATTTCCTGTTACATTGTGCGTTATTAAACTTCAAAAGATATTCACCTTCAAGAATCAAACCTATTAAACCTGTTAGCTTTTATCTTACCTTGTTTCTCGCATGAGAGTTAATGTAAGCATAACTATTTTTAACTTACTGTACCTTGCACTAAACATTTCAATAGCGAAATAATAAGTACTTATCATAACCTTACGTTGCAGTAGTTCTAATCTAAGGACAGTCGATATCTACGCTAGTTATATTATGGGTTTCCAAATTGTCAGATTAAGAGTTTAGGGGCTGTGCAAACCCCTGTTTATTGTGTTCCGATTTGATTTCAGCAAAAGCAAAACCACCAATGGGGCTCCTCCAGGGAAAATCGTAAACTCTATATTTACTACAACTTACTTGATCCAATACTCACTATTCCTTTGTTTTTTGCAGTTCAAACCCTGGTGGAGACCAATCTGTTCTCGGACGCCCTGGCCGCCTCCATCGAGCCCAAGAAGGTGGTGAAGCGCAAGCGAGCGGCGAACGCGATGTCGCCCACGGACAAGGATGCGCCGCTGGCGCCGCTCAAGTTCTACCAGGACACCCTGGACGAGTCGAAGGGGGAGGAGAGGTCGGACGACAGCAGCAAGGAGAACGACGAGGCCCGGTCCGCGTCGCCCGGCAAGGACACCGACGTGGACGACGACGACATTCCGCTGAAGCGAGTCAAGGAGGACATCGAGCAGAAGGTGCAGAAGGAGAAGGCGGCTTCGGGAGAAGGCGGCAGCGAGGCGGGCTTTGTGACTGACGCCGCAGACGACACCCCCGAGGAGCCCAAAAAGCCAGGACCTGGTTGCGGCCCCGACGGACCGCCCGGAGTCCTGATGCTGCACCGCCGCAAGGGCCCCAAGAAGAAGCTCACCTGGCAGCCCGAGGACAAGCTGACCCAGGTGCGGTACTTCGAGGTGGACCGGTCGGAGCGCGTGAACGTGATGAAGCAGAGCTTCCTGGAGATGAAGAACATGGAGCGGTTCAGCGAGCGGGACGCGCTGACGATCGCGCGACGGGGATTCGACGACACCATGGAGCCGCAAATGGAGTGGCGTCCCCTGATCGAGGTGGACAACGTGCCCGACCACCCGAACGGGAATCTCTCCAAGCAGCGGCAGGTGCAGATGGACAGGGAGGCCACCACGCTGCGAGCCCTCTACTTTTCCCCGGACATGATCCCCGACAGCGCCGCGGAGGCCGAGCTGGAGCCGCACTTCGCCCACGACATTCCCGTGATCCCCATGGACGACCTGACCGGCAACCCCGACGCGGTCAACGACTACAGTACCTTGCCGTGGCCAGAGCCGAAGGGATTCGCTCCCAGCTCGGGAATCGCGGGCAACAGTGCTCCGGACATGGGCTTCAGCGACCCCATGATGCCGGGCCTGGGCGGCGGACCCAACATGATGGCGAACCCCTTCGACCCCTTCATGGGACGCATGCAGGCCCCCGCGGGGATGCCGCCGGCACCCAACCTAATGCCCAACCCGGTGCCCAACGGACCCCCGCAGATCTGGCAGAACCAGATGGGTCCCGGAGGCCCCGGAGGGCCAGGAGGTCCCATGATGAACGGTCCGGGAGGGCCCGGCATGGACATGAACAACATGAACAACATGCCGCCGCAGAACTTTATGGGCAACCAGTTCGGCAGCCCAGTGCCACCGTTCGGAAACGGACCGCCCATGGGGTTCAACCAATACCCGCCCATGATGATGAATGGCCCCGGCCCGGGACCCCCGGGAATGGGCCCCAACGGACCCGTGCGGTGCCCCAACGGACCCATGATGAACGGGCCGCCCAACGGACCCATGATGAACGGACCGCCGAACGGAATGGGACCGGGACCCATGCAGAACGGAGGAGGCCCCAGGAACAACAACAACAACAGGAACAAGAACAACGGCGGGGGCAACTGGCGCAGCGGCGGCAACAACTTCCAGGACAACTCAGGCGGCAACTGGCGGTCAGCGGGATCTGGCCCCAACCGAGGAGGCGGCGGCGGCGGCAACACGGGCGTCTGCAAGCAATTCATGCGCGGCCACTGCAACATGGGCAAGAACTGCAAGTACATACATCCGCAGAAGAAGCGCATGTAGGACTAGCAGGGGTCTTCTGCGGAAGATTCGGCTGTATAGATCTCAGACGCACAAGCACGCAGGTTCCGGCGTTCCACAACCCCAAGAAGACTGTAGCCAGGTTAGCCGCTGTGGATAGTGCAGCTAATGTACATATGTATCTGAATACTATTCGAGTAGAGGCAGTTTATCTAATCACTAAGCTATTATACGTAGTCTAAGATCCCGTTTGGTCCCCTTCCCCGAGGCAACTCGTTGTCGCTGCGTACTTATACCGAAGGCTTCTTCAATGTGGTGTCCCTAGCTTACTCCCTTATTTTCTACTCCTTATTATGCATATTCATAAAGTTACGTATTTATAAGCCTATGGTTAGACATTAAAGACCAAGTCAAGTGATGAAATACTTTTGGTGTTGTTCTTTACACTGAGGGTTCGACTTTATAAATATCTTGCTGAACGTTTAAATTTAATTCTCATATTTCGCCAGCAGGAAGGCTGCTGATTTAAGCAACTATTAGTTGCTTAATCACGGGTCGTTTTTAAATGATTTTATTAAGTTAAAAAATTAGGATGTTCGGAAATAGTTAAAATTAAGATAAATGCATTTTTTAAAGCAAGAAAATGATTTATTAATTAGAAATCCACTTTGTGAAATCCAATTCTGGTTCCATCAGTGTAGTAGCTTGGATATAGAACAGAAAGACGGATACTCCCTGCCAGGGTGTTGAAAATCGATTTGCTTTCGGGAGGTATGCCATCATCATGCGATGCTTGCACTTAACCTGGAATGTCTATGGCTTCCGCCTCCAGACCCGCGACCCAGAATTCACATTGCTAATGCAATGCTTGTTTCAGTTTTGTGTATTTCATCAGCGCGTTGAGACCGGAGAACGCACAATCCACCATGAAGTTCCCCAGCCTGATGATCCTGTGCGGCTCCATGCTGGCCATCGCGAATGGCCTGAGCTTCACGGTCACGTCGCGGATCTACATGGACGTGAAGCACAACAAGAAGCCGGTGGGCAGGATCACCTTCGGGCTGTTCGGGAAGCTGGCCCCCAAGACGGTGGCCAACTTCCGGCACATCTGCCTGCGCGGCATCAACGGAACCAGCTACGTGGGCTCGCGGTTCCACCGCGTGGTGGACCGCTTCCTCGTCCAGGGCGGGGACATCCTCAACGGCGACGGCACCGGCTCCATCAGCATCTACGGGGAGTACTTCCCCGACGAGGACAAGGCCCTCGCCGTCGAGCACAACCGGCCCGGCTACTTGGGCATGGCCAACCGGGGGCCGGACTCCAATGGCTGCCAGTTCTACGTGACCACCGTGGGCGCCAAGTGGCTGGACGGGAAGCACACTGTCTTCGGGAAGGTGCTGGAGGGAATGGACACCATCTACGCCATCGAGGATGTGAGTATGCCTTTGTTTTTAAGTCAGCAAAGGAAAATTCCTGACAGAAATCTTAAACTAGATTTTTTATTTTTTATGAAATTGTCAAAGTTATTAGTGAACCACATTCAGTTAATAAAAATATTCTTTATAAATGTTTAAATGTAATAAGTCTTATATTAAATATGAACATATTTTATCAATATTTAGTTAGAGGTTTTATACCCTTTCTTGGTTAAACAAATCACTGACGACTGACATCCCATTTTCCACTTGCAGGTCAAAACGGACACGGATGACTTCCCAGTGGAGCCAGTGGTGATCTCCAACTGCGGCGAGATCCCCACGGAGCAGTTCGAGTTCTACCCGGACGACTTCAACATCCTCGGGTGGATTAAGGCGGCCGGGCTGCCGGTGACCAGTTCCTTCTGCGTGCTGCTCATCTTCCACTACTTCTTCCGCCAGCTCAACATGTACTGCTGAGACGCCCCTCTCTCAAAGTAAACGCTTTATTACTGCACATAGGACTAAGGAGCCCCACTCCCAACCCACACCAAACACAAACACACCCACAATAAACGCGTATAAATTTCAAGACATCCTAGGACACGAAGACGCCCTTGAGCAAAACGGGAAGAGTAGGCCCCATGTGAAGCTGTGGGAAGAGAAGTCGAGCTCAGGGATTGGTCGAACACATAATACTCCAGTGTTGCTCACATCGATGTAGAGGTAGTCCTCCAGAAGCTGGTCCTTCTCGTAGAAGCGGGACTCGGGCTTGAAGAGCCCCACCATGGTCACGTCCACGCCGGAGTAGTTGGACAGGCAGCCCGAGAAGACCTTGGCCAGGGTGAAGTGGTGCTTGTGGTCCGGGTAGACGGACGGGTTCAGGCTGTTGTAGTACTCCTCGACGAGGCGGCGGTCCTTGGGCGTCAGGTCCCGCTGGTGCTTGACCATCCTGTCCAGGTCGAAGGAGTGCGCGTGCTTCACCTTGGGGTCCCGGTCCGCGTCCAGCAGCCGCTCGAGCATGTTCCTGTACTTGTCCTTGAAGAACTCCAGCGCCGTGCACTTTTCCGCCCAGAAGGCAAACTTTTTGTCGTTGCTAAGGGAAGAAAAATACAATAAAATGGAAAATCGCGTTATTATTATTAGTAATTTTAGTTGAATACTTCATTTGGATGTTATTATAATACTTTTGTAATCTTATAATGTAATCTTATAATGTTGGATACTTAATTTGCTTATCGAACAATTTAAAGAAGTAACTAAGAAAACAAAAACAAATATTAAGTTGAATCGCGTTTATAAAATAATATTAATAATTTTTTGTTGAATACCTTATTTGGATCTTATTATAATACTTTTATAATCTTATATTATAATATTGGATACTTAATTTACTTATAGAACAGTTTAAAGAAGTAACTAAGAAAATAAAAAACAAATATTAAGTTAGATGTGTAATTACGTGCTTTGAAATACTTAAAATAAAAAAAAACTGCTTCGTAATTACGTGATAATAATTAATTTTGGTACTGACTAGCATTAATTACTTACTGCCTGCCCTCGGCGACCCTGAAGTCCACGTAGAGGCCCGGAACCCTGACAGCCGTGCGGGCGGCGGCGATGAGCTTGCCGGGTCCGAAGAAGTGCAGCTTGATCTGGAAGCGGCGCACGGTGTTCCGGTGGAGGGGACCCAGGTCCAGGACGAAGCCGTGCTGCTCGCAGGGAAGGGGCTGTACGGTGAAGTGCTTGACCCTCGCCGGCGACCAGAGGCCCGGCGCCTGGTGCATCTTCTGGTGGGTCAGGTAGACTTGCTGGTGCAGCGCGTACAGCTCGGGCTTCAGGCGGAGGCGAAGCAGGTAGCGCTCCGCCAGGATCAGCTGCCGCAGGACGGTGGCGTGGGGCAGCTCCTGGTTGTTGTTCACCATCACGTAGGTGTGCACCATGCGGAAGAGCTGCAGGTCGTGCAGGTCCTTCCTCTCGGAGCTCATCTCCTCCTCGCTGGCGGAGAGCAGGGAGAAGTCCTCGGTGACGGACGCCTTGTCCTCCGCCTGGCCCTCCTCCTCCCCCGGCCCGCCCTTCGGTTCCTCGTCCACCTCGGTGAGGGAGCGGAAGATGTCGTAGTAGTAGATCCTCTGCAGCAGGCGGTACTCCTCCTCCACCTCCAGGGGGTCCATCGGAACCCTCGGGAGCGGCGAGCTCATGTCCAGCATGGGCATCACGCCCTGTCCGCGGAGGCAGAAGTAGTTGGAGTCGCTGTTGTTGATCATGGCCCCGAACGAGTGGCGGAAGCTCTCGCTGAACCCGAGGATTCCCTTCACGCGGATCTGCTCCGCTCCGGCGGATCCCGGCTCCAGGTGCAGGATGTCGCTGGTCAGCATCTTGCAGAAGCCGTCCACCAGCCGCTTCTCCTTCGCCTCCTCCTTGGGCGCCTTCGGAGGCGGTCTCTTCACCTCGACGACCACCAGCTCGAGCGGGTACTGGGTCAGGTTGGAAACACGCACCACCGCATCGAACGATTCGTACCACGGCTGGAATGGAACCGCTTTAATATCTTACTTGGAAATTGAAACACTTATGTAACCCCTCCAAACATTGAAATTAAATTACGTGGGTAATATGTACGGGAGTTACCTTTGTGCAAATACCCACCTTGACTCCCAGGTAGATGCTGTCCTTGTGGAACCTGATCTTCTGAGGGAGGTTCACCAGGGTCACGGTGAACCGCTGGCTCTTCCCGCCCAGCAAGGCCAGCTCGAACACGGCGCGCATCTCGTGGCCGCGGCGGATGTGGGGCAGGTGCAGCTGGCACTCCAGGTCCGTGTCCACGGTGCCCCGCTTCTCGTAGAAGTAGATGTGCCGGCTGGCCAGGCAGTCCTCGGTGGAGGGCTCCGACCAGCGGTCGCTCGAGTCGATGTGCAGGCGGTTGAGGATGTCCGCGATGGTCTCCCGCACGACGCTTGAGGAGCTCTGGTCCCGCTCCGGCTGCTCGGCCGGGGGATCCTTGGGCGGGAAGAGCAGGGGCCGGTGTCGCAGGTCCAGCTCGTTGATGACCTGCTCGAGGATCTCCAGCACCAGGTCGCCGTTCTCCTCGAAGCGGCGGAACTGGCAGCGGCACGCCTGGTAGCGCCTCGTCATGTTCGGCTCCTCCTCGCAGCTGAAGTCGTACTCGAGCATGCGCAGGATCTCGGAGAGGACATCCGCGGCAATGCCCTCCGGGTCGTCCTCGTCGCCGACGAACACCTCGCTGGTCTCCAGCCGCCGCCACTTGAACTCGGCCGGCATGCAGCCCTGGTTCACCAGGTGGATGCTGCTGTCGTACGGCTTTCCCCGGTCGAAGAGGACCAGCTCCGGCTGCAGGATCGCCACCTCGGGCACCATCACGTTCACCCTCAGGAGCAGCGACTTCATCGGTCTGCCCAGCGCCGTCACGTTGATCCTGCCCTCGATCTGGCGGCAGAAGAGCTGCTTCAGCGGGCCCCTGTTGAGGATCACGAAGATCTCCTTCCGCTCCCCGCCCGCCAGGCTGATGCGCAGCTCCTTCTCGTAGGCGTCCTCGTAGAACTCCTTGATCTTGAAGGGGCCGCTCACCTGGAGCGTCACCCGGTCGTTGATGGGCACCGAGCAGGGGTTCACCAGCAGGGGCGTCTCCTCGTAGGAGCGCTCTTTAAGAGGCTCGCACCGCTTGTAGTTGAAGTTCACCTACAAAAAAAGAGATGGTTGAGAGCAGGAGGGGAATGGGAACGGGAGGATCTCCCTGGTGGACCAACCTGCTTGGGGCTCCACAGCAGCTGGCAGTCCACGAACTCCGCGGAGGTCCTGACCCTGATGATGTGCTTGCGCTGCGGGTACTTCTGGTCGATGACCTGCACCAGGAAGTCCCCGGTGGCGAAGCCCTCCACGTACGAGCTGGCCAGGATGTTCAGCTGAGCCTCGCTGCCGGGCGTCAGGTAAATGTTCTTCGGCTCCATGTCGAAGCGGGCGGTCAGCGCGTTGGTGGTGCAGGCGGAGGAGCCGCTGGCTCCCGGTCCCAAGCTGTTCAGGCGGATGATCAGGACGCGGTAGGCGCGCCGGCCCTTGTTGATCACCCGGATGGGGAAGCGGTGCTGGTAGAGTCCCTCCTGGAACTGCTCCTTGGTGTCGGTGTACAGCAGGCCGGCGTGGAAGCCCGGGCGGATGTCGGGCTCGAAGTAGAGCGGCACCCCCTCCACCAGGAAGGTGATGGGCAGCATTATCATGTTGTCGAACTGCAAGTCGATGAACAGGGTGTTTTGGTAGAGGTCCGGGTCTGTAAACAGCGAGACTAGCGTGGTGTACATGCTCTGACCAGAGGGGGCCAGGGATCCGCCCAGCGTGCTCAGGTACTGGAACTCTATGTCTTTCTGAAGGGGACGATTGATTGGGTCGTACCCAAATGGGATGAGGTCTATGGTCTTACCAGTCGCATGCTGAGCTTGGTGTGCGTGGGTGTGTAGTTGTCGATGTAGAAGTGCACCACGGACTTCTCGTAGACCTGCAGGCGCTGGTGGACGTACATGGGCGTGACCCGAATCTCCGTGGGCAGGACATTCGCGAACAGGTGGAAGGGGAACGGTTGGTTGGCGCCCACGATCTTGACCAGACCGGACAGCCGAGTGCTGCTCAGCGATCGGAAGGTGACGGAGCACTTGGCGGTAACATCCATCCCGCCGTCGATGAAGAACTTCCAGGTGCCGTCGCGGAAGGACATATCGGTGGGCTGTTTGTGGACGGGGGAAATCGACGAGAAGGAAGAAGTGATTCGGGTCGAAGGACCAACTCAAGGGCGTTTCCATTACTTACAATTACGTCATAGTGCAGAAAGGCGCCGATGATGGAGCGGTTGGAAAAGGTCATATCGAAGCCGTAGTCTTCGCCGGCGTAGATCGTCCGGTGGGAGAGGTCTACCAAGTTGGACCACTCAATCTCGGGCACCACGCAGTTGTATTCGAACCAGAGCTTCGAGCAGAGGAACTCCGACTTGATGAGGGTCTTCATGATGGGGTGGTCGTCGCTGGACTCCAGCGAGGAATTGGCCACAGCAGGGCAGATCCGCACCGAGAGCGACCGGTGGTAATAGCCCTCCTTGTTCGGTACCAGGAGGATGGTGATGCTGCGCCCGGTGTTCGGCCGCAGGTAGATGATCTCGTTGTCGCAGAAGACCTCCCGCGGGTCGCTCGGCACCGCGTTCCAGTCCATGAAGATGTAGTTGTTGTGCTTGGTGAACACGGAGAAGTACTTGGTGTTGAGCAGCCCCGTCATCGCCTCCTGGATGACGCGGCGGTCGGTCTCCGACTTGTCGAAGATCTTCTGCTTCTTCAGGTTCGTCAACAGGAAGGCGGCCATCTGCGGAATAGGTTCTTCGAGGGGGTAGGGGTAGGGGTAAGGTATCCATCAGGATCAAAGGTAGAAGTCGTGCTCACCCATCACCTCCTCCTCGAACTCCAGGCTGTACACGGAATCGGTCATCTTGGCGGACTTCATCGACAGGATATCCGAGACGGTGTTCGTCAGCCGGACTTCCCTGGGCTCCTTCGGCTCCGTGCTCTGGAGATCCTCGTGCACCTGCTGCAGATGGCGAATGGGGTCGCGCACGGTGATGGGCAGCATCTCCGTGGAGCTGCGGATGTTGAGCACCAGAGGCGTCTCCTCGCCATCCTCGGTGGGCTTCACCTGCAGCGTGATGGGCACCGCCAGCGGGTTCATCAGCAGCATGTACCGCTTCTGGGGCACCGCGATCGGGATGCTGCCGAACTCCACCAGCTGGGGGAAGGTGCGCAGCTGCACCGGCTGCCCAGTGCCCCTGGGGAAGAGCGGGGGAAGTGAGTGGGAAGTGGGGGGACTGCTGTTCGGAGGCATAGCTACTTCAGCGTGACCTTGTAGTGGCTCCCGTTCTCCACCTTGAAGTGCAGCGTGATGGAGAACCTGCCGGGGATCAGCGAGTAGAAGGACAGGTTGAAGATGCCGCGGGTGCAGGGATCCAGCAGGAAGCCTTCCGCGGGCGAGACGCGGATGCCGACCACGTCTGGATCGGAGGAGTCCTTGTAGACGACTCTTGCAGGCACATCTTGGGGGTAATGAAAAGTTAAGAGAGATTATCAGTAGTAATTATGAGAGTAGTATTCTGTAGTGCTCCTCACCATCCACGTTGAGCACCTTGATCTGCGCGCAGTGCTCCTCACCCAGGTAGATCTTGCGGAAGTCGATGGTCTTCGGGTGGAACTCCACCTCGACGCCCCCGATGAGCCCGGCCAGCATGACGGAGTGCGACTCGACGCAGTCCTCGGCGTCGCTGAAGCAGAAGACGAGGCGCGTGCGCTGGAAGTAGGGGGCTCCAGGTCGTCGGGGAACGGGCTCTCGGCGTCGTACTTCGGGTAGAAGGCCAGCTTTATGTCCGCCGAGCTGCCGGCAAAGATCCTGCTGGGCAGCACGAACTCGAAGTGCTTCGAGGCCCTCGCGTCGCAGAGGACGTTCTGCACGCTGGCCTTCTCCTCGAAGTCGAAGAGCAGCACGCTGCGCATGCTGACGGCGTCGTCGATCAGCTTGTCGGACACCGCGGAACCGTCGTCGTCGGTGCTGGCGCTCACCTCCTTGGCGGCGGAGTCCACGCGGAAGTCCCCCGAAGCGGACACCTCGTGCTGGCTCTCGTTGCAGACGGTGACCGTGCGCACCTCCTCCTTGAGGAACTTGTTCGTGCCGAAGACCACGCTCCCGAGGCTCAGGTGCACGCCCATCGACTTGGGCGTGAACACGAACAGCACCGGCTTGGGAGGCCCTGGGGAAAGTGGGTGATCACTCGACCCTCTGGGGGGATTGGGAATACTTACACACGCCGAACTTGATGTTGAAGAAGCCCCTGTAGACGCTCAGCTTCTGTGGGTGGATGACCAGCAGCAGCCTGGCGAAGTCCCTCGGCGGCAGGACGTCCTTGTTGTTATCGTTGATCTCCAGTCCCCGGTTGGTGCTGCCAAGGATTATATGGTGATGGAACTCACTGCTTTAGGTGGAACTCACTTTCTGTAGCGCACTCGCACGTGATCCTTGGTGGGGTTGTAGATGACCATCTCGTAGTGCGTCTTGTTGCCGGGCACGCAGCTGGGGAAGGTGATGCTGTCGCTAATCGAGGGGTACTTCAGCTTGTCGAGAACTGCGGATGAGTACGGGTGTGAAAATCGATTCGGTTCGATCGGGTGTGGACAACAATAAGTTTGTGGATACCGATAATGGGCACTTGGAAAATGATGTTGGGGTGGAAGCACTCGAGCAGCACGTGGCGCCGCCGGTTGATGTCCCTTTTCGAGCTGGCCCGGATCCAGATCTTGACCTCCAGGACCTCGTCGGTGTCCAGGTAGCGGTGCAGGTCCAGTTCCGCGATCGAAATGGAGGTGTCCTCGGGACTGTCGGTGGTTACGTTGACCAGGCGTGGGAACTGCGGGGGAAGCGCAAATAAAAAGCAGTATGAACACAACGTTTGTATTGGAAATCACTAGGAAGGAGGTGTAGGAAGATGTTGGTTTCTTACCAATCCCGTGTTTTTGATGTTGAGAGTCAGGCCGTAAGTGTTGTTCACCTTAAAGCCCTTGTGGTGGATCATCATCCGCGGCGTGATGTGCAGCGAGTCCACCATGTTGGAGTACTCACTGTAATCTGCGAGGAGCGAGAAGGGGAGCAACAATAGCTACACATAAAATCATATATCTTACATTCCCTTGCGACGCAACATTGAAATTGGCGCTTCACCTTGCTGCTTCGGAAGGACGGTTTAAACATTTGAGGCGTGTTGTTAAATACATTAGGTGGATCCGCAGGTGTCCCTGTTGTGGTCGGCGCCTGTTCGGACATTCTGGCTTGTGTTGTGTTTCCTGAAATTCCAAAAAATATAATTGATTTGAATTCAAAAGCCACTGCTCACCACAGACGGTTGACGTTTTTCAACTAGGTGGCAGCACCCCGAGATACTGTTCACCACAGGCACTGCTTGAAATACTCTTCCACTTCCTTTGCCCAAGCAGTGCAAAGGACGTTTTTATTTAAAATTCTTGTTCATCTTATCCGTAAATTTAATATACTTTTGCATTGGATTGAATCTACCTCCCGTTCTCTTCCGCTTACTTGTTTTCCAAGGGTTGTTGTTTTGGCAAAGCAATTTCAATTTGGCAAAACCCAACGCAGCATGAACGCCACAAAATGTCGAACGTGTTGCAGCCTCTTCTTTTAGCATGACCTCAACCACAGTTTTATTCGCAAGCCCAAGTACACAGCGAGAAATCGAATGGTGTTTTGTGTAAAAATGTTTTAAGACTTACGCAAGTTTTTTTGTTAGCCTTTTCCCTTGAAAGCAGGGGATATTTTACTGAGTTGTTAACAGAATTTCCATTTGCAAGAACGTATAAAAGAGAAAAGCTGGTTTTATTTCTCGCTGTGCAAAACCGAAGCAATCCCAACCGCAAAAGCTGCCGATACACAACAAAGTCCGGCTGCTTGCCTTATTTATTTGCTGCTCCCGACTCCCGAATGCCGAATTCTGCACTTGGCAAAAGGACATTTCGTCCTTTTGTGCAAAATTAATGATATGGGCCAGGAGGAGTGACAGGCGGAGGCTCGGACTGCGGTTGCCGCCGTCCTATTGCCGTTTTTATTGTCAACGGGCCCTAGAAACTTGAGATAAAAATTTGCCGGAAAGCCAGGCGACCACAAAACCGTACAAAGAAAATTGAAAGAAGGTCCTGTGGCATGTGGAATTTGCATGTGTGCTCCTGCATCCTCTTTCGGCCATTGTTTGCCGGGCCAGCCCACTTTTGTTATCGCCGGCAAAGCGCTTATAAATCACTGCACTTCACATGCAAGGACCTCGAGCCACGGACCTCGGACCACGGACATTGGACATTGGACCCGGACACTCAGATAAAACACGACCGAATGGATGGCCGAAAATTGCAGCATCCTTCGATGGAGTGGCAGGCAGGCAGGCAGTCCGCATCTCATTCCGGGGAGCAGTTACTTTGATGGAAAACAATTGCCAGAACTCACTGGCAGGACATCGCTCTCATCATGCTCGAATTGGCGCCTTTATTGGGTACAAATTGGATGCCATAATGATGACAAAGAACCGCCAACGCAGCTTTAAGTGCTCCCCTTCGTAGATGGCATTTTTATGACATCCAATCCGAGGTCTGCGACTGATTGCTCCACTGCACCCCGCTGACCAAGGACGAAGGATAGGACCTCAACCTCAACATCAAGTTCGGGGTTCGGGGTTCCGGTCGTGGAAAAAGGGTTTTTATTTGTCCGGCTTATGTGCTCCTTACGACTGCAAAGTGGCAATTCTTTAACAATTTATGTTGCCAAACCAAAGTCGAGTGTGTGCCACTGCCGCTGAAAGTGGCAAATGGAATTGAGGGTTGTCAAGGGGCAAAGGGGAGGAGCGAAATCGGGAGACAGAGGGAAGAGGAGAGGGGGAGGGGGCCCTTGCCGAGGGCTGCAACAGCTGACGCCACTCCCCCAAATCCCCATCCGCCGCCCTTCTGACGCTTTTTATTTTGTTGGTCCGTCGGCGGCTGTGAAATTTTCGTGAATTTATGAGCACTTGAGAGCAGGCGCCATCGCCAAAGGCAGCCCCTCCACCACCTCCCCCTCTCCCTCCGTCCCCCCTCTTTCCACCCCCTCTTCCCAGTCTCGCAGGGCGACTTTGTTGGCCTAATATAAATTTCAACTCGAACAACAACAGCTGCACTGGAATAAAAAGTGGACAAAGCAGACTTCTTAAAAGGGCGGTGCATTATATCTACAAATTGTTGGAAAAAAATTCAAAAATTATTTTTATAACCTCCTCTGTTTATCAATGTATAATCCCTTTTGCAACCTTTTTTTCCAGTGTATTGAATGGCTAAAAACTGGCGGCGGGGATTGTAAGCCTGGGCAACATTTTAATGCGCCACGCGGTATTTTTTGGGTTTTTTTCTCCCGATTCCCCATTCCGCAGTGGCAGCCAAATGTGGAGAGGGGGCAATAAAATGGTCGCCGAATGTTATGAAAGGATTGCGGCCAAGTGCGAGGGCCGTAAATCGTAGGCCAGCAGCCCTTATAAAAATTAGTTTACGTGGCACATAATTTTGCATTAATTCCGCTTTGGAATGGCCCTCAAGGAGGAGCGTGCGGCCAGAGATTCGAGGACGGCTTGCCAAGAAGCACTTTGCCACATTTTAAAGTGTCTGTCACATAAAATGCTCACTGGGGGCAGAGCAACAGAATGCAACAAAATATTTTGCTATGCTGCACACAGAAAAAACAGAGAGCGAGCGGCAAACAAAAACAGAAGCAGAAACAGGGGCAAAACAAATGCTTATAAAATGATAAGTTGCTGCTGGACGAGGACGTGGAGTCGAGTGAAGTGCAGGGGCGGCAAGGACGAGCATCGCAGCACATCCTCGGGACGAAGTGGGCGAGAAGTGGAAAGGACCTGCCATCGAAGATGTGTTGCGGAAATATTTTGTGTGAAATTATTGCGGCCAGAGCAGAGAAGAGACGGGAATGGGAAAGAGACTGGAATGGGTTCTCTGAGCGGAGGATACCCTAAGCTAAACACAAAACTGAAAGTTTATAGCTATACGGCTAAATCAATTTGAAAGTATTCCTGCTCGGCATCTTTAAGACCTAAACTAAAGCTGAACACAAGAAAAACAACTGTGTGTTTCTGACTTTATGAGTAACTCCGGAAAATAAGTAAACAAGGAACTCAGGTATCCCGGCTTTGACTGGAGTGACCGATGGCCACAGCTCGTTTAGAAACCAATTTGCATGGCTCATCGCTGCGAGGGAGCGGTGGCGGATGCGCAATATTTGTGACAAGGCCCGACGCCACCTAGCGGACAACCGCTGCAGCAGCTAATTAGTGTGACAAATTGCTTAGTCAGAAAAGAGAGGGGCGGGCCACCGCATCCACACCGCAGCCGCATCCCTGGTGGCCACGTCCTGCTCTGTCTGCCGGGCCAGGGCAGAATGAAAACTCATTAAAAATTTACAATTGATTGACTGCACAGTGTTCGACTGGCTGTCGTCCGAAATTGTGACAACACTCGTTCGTTTTGGGCTTGTGGCCCTGGCTAAATGGCGCACACGCATCGCATCCAATTGCATATGCTCGCCCCTTCAACTGGAGCAATTTATGCTAATGCTCGTTAGTGAAATCAAACAGCAACAGAGCAACAATTGTGTAAACAACAGGGCCGTAAACCAAACCGAGTGCTACGTGCGAGGGCAGCTGCAACTGGCGATGCCACTGCCGCTGCAACTGCAACTGCAACTGCATCTGTCGGTTGCACAAAATATTGACGCATATATTGGCAGTGACAATTAATCTGCTAATTGCCAATTTAAGCACGTAAACCAAACACAGGCGGCGGCGTCGACATGACCAGGGCGTGGCTGCCGCATTGTCGGTGACAGATAGAGAGGTGCACAGCGAAAAACAAGGGGTCACTTATGCTTTCACTCCGAATTGAATCGCAATAGTTACTTACCTCTGTTACCTTCTCTTTGCTGCACCTTTCTGCGATAAAGAGAGGTGAGTGTTTTGTTTAGGTGACATTCAGCCCTAGAATTTCCGCCCAGTGTGCGGATAGGTAATAGGAACAGCCAATGGTCCGTATCGAGGTCGTCGCTTATGGGCTGCCAGGCCATTGGGAACCAAGGAGGACGGGGCTGCGGACTGCATCTGCAAGTGAATTTGATTTGCCGTCTGATTTATGCGTGCGACGCTCGAGTACTTTTGCGTAATTCGAGCTAATGAAAGTCAACAGAGGCGCATGCTGCAGGATACAGGATACAGGATGCAGGAGGCAGGACGTCGAAGGGGCAGACCCTGGAGCTGCGGGGCGGGCCACAAGTGCGTATGAATAATCAGGGCTTAAAGCGAGCTCGTAAATAAATTAGTTTTGCTGTTGACACGACAAATTGATGGGAAGGAGAGGCCTCCGGAGGAAAAGGAAAATGAGGAGGAGGAGGGAAGTGCCAGCGACTCCGGAAGCCGGTAGTCGGTAGCCGGAGTCCGGGATCTGGAGTCCGTAACACGCCGCTCCGGATGCAGCACAATGGCGATCTAATGAGCACGCACCGCTTCTGCGTTTGAGTTCTTGGGCTCGGAATTTATTTCGTTTTTTCCAGCAGCAGCTTCTTGCAAAACTTTCGCTTAGTTTGTCGGCATCGCCATGCCCACCGAGTAGAGGGTAAGGGGATGAGGGGGTTTGAGGCGTGTCTCTCGACCCTGTCAACTAAATGCGCTCCATTGTTGGCAGCAGGACGACTGCCTTTCGTCCTTCCACGACGATTGTGTCGCAGCTCATTAAATCCAAGGCAAGACAGCAAAAGGCAAGCCACAAAAATCCCTTTGCACTCTCACAAAGAGCTTCATTCGGGCCGTCGTCCCGGCCACATTCAAAATGCCATTAAAAGCATACTAAAATTAATTTGTAGCAATTAGTTGCAAATTGCTAGAAACCGAGGCGGTCAGAAGCAAAGGATAAGAGCAGGCGCTTCTGTCCGGAGAAATGGCTCAGCGTTTTTATGTGCCTCTGCCCATTTGCCATTTAGAGAGCTGTCTTCGGCCATGCCGAGCAAAATCATAAAAACCCACTGCCAATTGCCCTCGCTCCCCCTTTCGCCGCGTGGCCAGAGTAGTGGAGCATAAATAAATTCTGTGTTATTTTTGGCAATTATTTCCACATTCTACTATGTCTCCTCCTCGGCGAGAGAGTTTGTGTGTCTCCGCTGTCGAACTCATTTGTAATTTGCAGATAGTTGGCCCGAGAATGGCTGTTTGCTTTCTGAGAACTGATTGGGGATATCAGGCAGACATGTTGCTTTAATGCTTTAGTAAGTAAGGAAGAGTTCACTAA